CAAATCAACTCTGAATGACCTCAAATTTTGCACGTAACTCTAAAATAAAAATATAGACCTATTCCAACTCACAGAACTAAAATCTGAATCAGATATCAATAAAGTCAACTCTCGGTCAAACCTCTCAACTTTCCAAACCTTCAACTTTTCAACTTTCGCCAATAAATACCAAACCAACTTACGGACCTTCAAATCCAAATTCGGGCATATTTCTTCGTCCAAAATCACCATACGAAGCTATCAGAATCATCAAAATATCATTTCGAGATCGTCTACACAAAAGTCAAACTCTAGTCAACTCTTTCAACTTAATCTTCCAACCTTGGGTCTAACTGTCCTAATTCACTTCGAAACCTCCCCGAAATCAAACCAACCACCCCGGCAAGTCACATAACCACAAAAGAACATAGAAGGGACAATAAATTGGGGAACATGGCTACAATATACAAAACGGCTGGTCGGGTCATTACACATATACACATAACTAAAATCATAATAAACAAATAGTTATAATGTAAGAATACTATAAATAAATTAAAAAAATCAGGCAATAGCGTAAGAATGCATATACTAATTAAATTTCTCATGTAGAAAATTTTAACTAATAAATAAAACTCATAATTTCATAATGAAAAAAGCAAAAATATAAAGATACTATTAGGATATTATACATAATTTCAACACAAATTAATAATTATTAAAAATATTTTTAGTTTTTGTATATAAAAATAATAAAATGCTTATCTCTTTATACTTTTGGTTCAAAATTATAATTTAGTAAAACAATATTACATTATTTAAATTTTCAATAGACTACAAATGAGAAAACTAATCAAATATTACAATAGAAAAGAACGTACAAAAAGAGAGGGATAAAAATAATTTTATGATATTTATATTTTGAATTAATTAAAAAAAAGTAACACTCAAAGAAATTATTGATAAATTTAGACCATTGAAAAATTTTGAATAGTATAATATAAGTTTAAAAAAATAAAATAATTTTAGTGTAAGAAAATATATATCTATTTTATATTAAAAGAGAAGTAGTATCAAAATATTAAGCCAATTGACGAGTTAATAAAAAGTCACATTAGTAAATGTATAATACTAAGTACTTGCTAATTTAATAAAGAATAATTAAGGAATAAATAATTTATTTAATTGCTATATGATGTGTATCATTTGATTTTGTATAGATTTTATTATATTTTGGTACACTATATTAAATAATAAGATAACAATTAAGATTTATTAAAATAATATTATATATTAGATCATATTATAATTTTATAAGATTAATATTATGTCATATTATCCGCGCATCGCGCGAGTTCTAACACTAGTTTATTAGATATCTAAATCTTATTATGCATTTGGTAACACATTAAACCTTTTAATAGATAATACAATTCCTTAGATTACATCCCCATCTGATTCCTTAAGCAATACTGATCTTGGTTCTTCTTTCAGAGCACCCATGGCATCATCTACAGGTTCAGACAACATTTTTACAAGCTTCCAATCAAGAAAGGGTTCCCTAAGAATAAAAAAAATGTTAAGTTTTCCTAACTTGGTTATCTGATGATACTATATAGGAAATGTGGACCAAATGACTTTTTAATTTAAGGTTGGGATAATAAATTTTGTTTTCAATTCAAATATGTGCAAATCAACATGGGTATGTAACATGTAAGTAGATGCGGTTCATTTTTTGTGTACTCAGTTAATATTTTGTTAGAAATTTGACTGCAATTTCAGGTTTAATTATAAATAAATTTAAAAAACTGACAAAAGAACATGGATTTCAATCTTGATGTTAAATGAATTGGAAGGTTTAAATTTTTTGAACTTGTTTTCTATTTTAAATTATATTTTGAATCTCCAAATTTGTGGGAGGTTTGTCCAAAAATTTGATACTTGTAGAATTTTGATTTTGGCACTTGTCATTCAATTCTTGTTTTACTTCTCCTAGATAGATAATGCAAAGAGGGCCAGATTAGGTCATTTGTACTGGGTTTCTATTGTAGGCAGAACTGGATTTTGTTGTGCCGATTGGGCTGTCTGTAACACTCCTAGTACAGTCCCATTTCAAAACGATGTTCAATGCCGCAATTGCGCTTGGACCCATGTGATTCTCCATTTAAAAGCATCATGCAGAAGTGATGTCATACTAATTTCTCCTAATTGATGCACTACGTGGCCTTTTGCGGAGGTTTCTGTTAGAAAAATGATAGATAAAACAGGTAAAAGAATATTTGTAAAGAAAATATGTGTAAAAAGAATTTCGTGCAAATTTAAATGGTAAAGTATGTATACTAAGACAAGAAAATTAAAAGTAGGTATAATTACGCAGGCGCACTGCTTTAATAGGAAAAGTAAAGCAGGAAAACAAAGAGAACTTTCTCTTCGCAAGGTCGAAAAATTGACACGAAATAAAAGAAAAAGCAGAAAAATAAACTTCTCTAAAAGAAAATCATTTTCTCTCCTCTTTTCCCCTTTTTTCTTTTTGCTGGAAACTGACTTCCATTTCTCTTTTTTTTTCTTTCCTCTGTCCCAAACAAAATAATGAATACTTATTAGAATAGGCCAAATACTTCGACTGTCAAATAAATTTCAATTTGATTTCTGACATATGTCTTCACTCTTTAACAATCAGATTTACGTATTTTAAAAGTACATAAAAAAGTACTACTACAGTAATATTAGTTACCTTTTCTAACAATAATGACGTGTATACAATGTATCGGCTTGAAATCTGGGAAGATTGAGTTCGTTCGATTTGAAAAGTTAAATTTAAAAATTTCAAAAATAAAAAAGTTGCTCCCTGCATGTGTCATTCTCCAAACTTTGAAGGGGTTAATGAAAAAAGGCCACCTGAATGTATCATTCTCTCAATCAATCTATACAAGAGAATGTTGTCAGAATATCACAACAAACAACAACTGATAAACAGATGATACTGAATGTAGAATATTAGTATTCAGCTTTTTCGTACAAAAATCATTTTTCCACAATTAAATAGTTTGAGATAAATTTTTAAGAAAGAAAATCTTGTTGGGTGGAATATGTTACCAGATACGATTAATATAATCTGCACAGACGTGTTCGCATTCCCCCGAGCGGACAAGAAAGAAACGATCAGGCTCTTTTATACTAACACCAAATCTCAACGAGTTTTCAACGGCAATTTTTGTGCTCGAATTAGCCCAACTCGAATGGTAGAGCGACGAAATACTGCAGTGTTCTAGGTTTAATTAACGAAATTTGTCTTTGGACAAAACAAGAGCTCCTCAATTTATACAACTCAATTTATTTGGCAAAGTATTTTAGATGAATTTAATGACGACTCCTAAGGCAAATTGAATCTGGCACCGAGGCAGTCAAATTTTAAAACTCCTAAAGATAATTTAATCAGATGAGATAGATAGGATCTTTTTACCAAGCAGTAGATCCATATAGAATTAAGGGAGTTCAATTAGATCCCCTTATCGAAAAATTAAATTGTGATAATAGGGAAAGATTAATTATATGTAAACTACCGAATCTCTTTGACATACAAGAAGATTTTCGCCTAGTAATAATCAGGTTCATTAAATTTCAGATCATTACTTTAAATCCCTGGTATATCAATTTAACTTTTTAAATCTCCTTACATTTGTTACTCCTTTACTGCCTTTTGGAGCTTTGGAATGGAGAAACTCATGGTAGAGAATCCTTTCAACTTATTGCATCATATAGCACGAATACAAATTAATCGAATCAGATTGTTTCGAATATGGGATATTTAAAAAGATGAAGACGACGAATTGACTCCCCTAAAATAAGTGAGACCTCGCGATGAAATAGATTGGGAACAAAGTTACTTAACGGTTAAGACAAGACCAACAATATGGACCACTGATGTTTTCGCTTTTAGTTGCTTCCGGACAAGGTAGGCAGAAAGCTTCCGCACAAAGTTTTGCTGTGGCTTTCTACTTCTTCTTTCTGCGTAGTGTTACTCTTTTTTTTCTAATGCATTCATACATGCCAAAAAGGTGTCTATTACGTAGCAAATTTCAAAATATTTTCTTACTTCTTGATTAAGGTGAGATCTTCCTTTTTTCACTTTGTTTTTTATCATTGGAATATAAAAGTAGATTTTCAATTTCCAATGCCAGACTATCACTTTTGATTATTGAAGATGTAATCTAGGTACTACTTGTTGGTCTAAATACTACAGTCGTTCTATTGGTAAACTAAATCTGTATGATAATATTTTATATTTGTTTTTTAAAATCTGAAGTCATTTATTTTTAACTTTTAACTTTGCTAAAACTGCTCCAATAATGTGTCAACTGTATGACATGTTTAAAATAGAAAATATACATAATCTAAACAAATACTCTCTCCGTTTCAATTTAGATGAGGCGGTTTGATTCGGTACAGAGTTAAAAAAAATAAAATTTGAAACTTATGTTATTAAAAACTTGAGTGGTAAAAGTTTTGTGAGGCATGATATTTGCGTGATTATAAAAGTTTCTAATTAAGGGTAAAATTGATAAAATGATGAGTTTAAAGTTCAATCATTTTCAATTGTAGAAATATTTAATTCTTTTTTAAATAGACTAACAAGGAAAGTGTGTCATCTAAATTGAAATAGAGGTAGTACTTTTATGATTTAGACTATTAATATATTTCTTAATTAAATAATGTGTAAAAAAAATTTAAAAGACATAGTTAAACCTCTGTTACGTTGTTAATCCTTTCTCAAGAAGAAAGAAGTACTGAATATAAAAAGTAGTAAACAATTGGATAGAGCATATTGTATTGTTTTCTCGAGGCAGAATATTGATGATTACTTCTTCCAAGAATCTAATTGTATCCAGAAAAATGGATATCTTGTGAGTACAAAAAGAGGTAAGCAAATCAAGAGGAGAAGGACAAGCCTTAGCTTATTTTTCCATAAAATTGAATGTAAGTGTATAATTAGACAAAATACCTAGTTGAATTCCAATGAATCATTTGGACTTTGAGCTGCATCTCGGGTAAATTGTCGTTCCATTTAACGGAAACTTGAGCTGACAATTAAGATGCAGCCAGAACTTCACAGAACCAAGCAACCCTACTCTCCACCTTGTTCTTGTATTCCCTCTTATATCAAAAACCACTTGATTCCGCCTTAAGAAAAGCTCAGCAACCTCTCCTTCTTCTGGCGTCAATGGAATCGACGATGATTCAACAGGATAATACAAATACTTGGAGCTGTTTGCAGGGACATCAAAAGGGTCAGCATTTAAATAAGCCACTTTAACACCATGGAAGCTAAGTGTGTAACTCGTCTCATAGAAACTTGCATGGGCTCTTGAATTGTCATTCTCAGCTTTGATAATAATTGAGACTCTGAGAGTGAGAACACTGGCCATGTCATAGGAAAATCTGTCTAAATTGGCACTTGCTACACTCATTTGAGGGACTTTTGGTCGAATGACCATGTAGCCAATGAAGACGACCATACCAGTGATGATTACGGCTACGGTTAAGATAGTGCAGATTATGGCTGCACACCAAATTAATGGATTGGTGCGTCGTTCTGGTCCTAGAACTGGCTTTGGCATTGGAAATAGTAACTTTTATTAGTTGAGCGGCAGTCCTTTCACTTAGCACCGACAAATCACTAAGGCCGACTTTCGTTCCTGGCGCTGATTGATAGAGGTGATAGGTAGCCAGAGAGTGACAACATCCGGAGGAGTTCAAAAGGGTTTTTGTTTTTCCAGATGGGGGAGGGTTTTTAGAAGGTATGAGGAGGAGTTGGCAGCTAGGTTCTTGTTTTGAGGTACTTGGCTTTAATTGTTGGGTAAGGTTTAAGTATCTTCCTTTCCTAGGGATAAAGCTACCTCAACTAATCTTCTGCTTCATGCCTTCTACTATTAAGGAATCAAAATGCTCTTTTCACACATAAAGAAAGTGAAAATACCAAACTTCCAAACCATTAATATGGGGATTTTATACCGCAAAATCAACCTTTTCTTACTTTTTGCTCTTAATAATACCTCAACAATGATACAAATATATATTTCCTCCGTCTCAAATTATCTATCGCATTTCTCTTTTTACACGTCTCTCGAGAAAACGTTGATTTATAGGAGTTTTGAATTATTTTGTCCTTACTAGTTTGTGGTCGCGTGTGTGGCATGTGTATGCCAAGCCATATAGTATACCATTTTGTAAAATAATATCACTATTAAAAATAATATTTGAATAAATAATTATACATAAAAGAAAAGTACAAATTTCTTTGATCGATGAATATGGATCGCCGTATGATGACTTGTTTGTCCAGGTCAAACTGATTGAATATTGTCTAAACCTACTAAAATAAATAATTTACTTATTTTAATTGTATGAGGTATAAACACGTAATAAGCCGTATCTCACATACGATTTTCTTAAAATGATATTCCCTATGTATTTCTTTTATCCATTTTGATTGTTCGTTCATGACTCACAACCAAGAGACGTTTTATGGACATTGGTATCTCTCGTAAAGGTGCAACTCCTTCATGTTTCAATGTACGCACGAGAGCACACGTGGGCTGCTAGGCATAAATAATTACATATAATTCAAATATGTAATTCCAAATCTACACTACAACAAATATGGACTAACGCCACACTAGTTTTAGACAACACCTCAAAAATGTGCCCAAAAACATATTTGGGCACACTTTCAAAGTCTGGCCTTTGTATAGAGCTTTTAGCTACGGAAAATTTGGCCACGCTTGTAAAACGTACTCTTTATTTTATTAGGCCCCATTATTAAACGTTGCTAAATCGTAAATCAATTGACAACATTTACTTGTATATATGGCTACCATTTAAGCGTGCTCTTTTTATAATTCTAAAAGCAGCATTTTATAAGTGTGCTCTAAAATACAATAAAAGTTTTGGCTAAAATGTGTTAGATCTAAGTTGATTTCAATGATGCAAAATAATCAATTACTCCTTATGTGCAGAAACAGGTTCTGAGCAATAGAATTGAGGCGTGTGGAGGCAAAAATGAATCAAACGAAAAAAAAGCAAAGAGAAGCGGAAAAATCAATCAAGGGAGCTGGAAAAATCAATTAAAAAGGATATTATAGGAAGGATCTCAATCAAAGGAGATCAAGGGCACGAAATCATCCACTAAAGATTCTCCTACATAAAGACGTCAATCGAAGCATCAATGAAGGGATTTGGCAACGGGAATATTCTCTCATTTAAGAAAGAATTAATTCAAGCCAGTGAGTCAAGGCAAGTCAGCAGAAGAATCAATCATGAAAAGAATCAATTCGCATATTGCTTGCATATGCATCTTTTATAGGTTTTAAACTATTTCAAATGGATGTCAAAAGTGCTTTTTAAAAGGTTTCATTGATGAGGGGTATATGTAAAACAACCTCCTAGCGTTGAAAACTCACAATTTCCTTATCATGTGTATAAGCTAGCTAAAGCTCTCTATGGACTCAAACAAGCTCCTCGAACTTGGTATGAAAGATTGAGTTCCTTTTTAACTAATCATGGGTTCATCAGAGGTAAGGTGGACACTACTTTATTTATCAAGAGATCTACTGAAGGTAATCTCATTATTCACATCTATGTAGATGATATCATATTTGGTAGTACTAATCTTCTTTTGTGCAAGGATTTCTCGAATCTCATGCAAAGTGAGTTCGAAATAAGTATGATGGGAGAGCTGACATTTTTTCTTGGACTACAAATCCATCAATCAGAAAGTGGAATATTCATCTAACAAACCAAGTATACGAAGGAGTTGATTCAAAAATTTGGAATGAGCAATGCCAAATCAATTATAACTCCAAGTATCGTGGAATGATTGGATCTCTATTATATCTAATGGCTAGTCGACCAGATATTATGTTCAGTGTTTATAAATGTGCAAGTTTCAATCAGCTCCTACGGAGTCTCACTTAACTGCAGTAAAGCGAATTATTCGCTATCTCATTGGAACCACCACTTACGGACTTTGGTATCCTCGCTCTAACAATTTTAAACTTGAGGGATTTTCAGATGCTGATCTTGCAGGTGACAAGGAAGACAAAAAAAGCACAAGTGGGACTTGTCAATTACTGAGAAAAGCACTATTCTCCTAGAACAGTAAGAAATAGGGATCAATAGCGCTTTCCACTATTAAAGCAGAGTACATTACAATTTGAAAATGTTGTACTCAATTATAATGGATGTCTCATCAATTGGGTGACTATGAATTATTTTTTAAACCTGTTCAAATATTCTGTGATAATTCTAGTGCAACTTGTCTATCAAAGAATCATGTGCATCATTCTAGAGCTAAGCATATAGATATTAAGCACTATTTTATTAGAGATTATGTTCTTAAAGTCAACATAGAATTATTGTTTGTAAGTTCCACTGATCTATTAGCAGACATATTTGCAAAACCTTTGCTAGAAGATAGATTTTGTGCATTACGAGACTCTCTTGGCATTATTAAACCTATTATTTTAGGGCCTTTGTGATATTTTTAATTATTATCATATCTTAGTCTGAATATTTCCTTAAGTGTGTAAGGTGCATTAATTGTGTGTTTGCTACTTTTCCCTTTTCACATCTTTTCACACATTTTCATAGACCACTCAATCATAGTGTCGAATCTATGACACATTTTCGTCTATACTCAACCGCTGTTTCTCATCCTTTTAAGTTCAAAGTCTCTTAAGTCATTCTCACATTGTTTGTATTTCCACTCCCCTGTTCTAAACTCTACCATAGTGAAATAATCCAAAAAACCCTCTGCTTCAACCCATAAAAGCACTCGCTCTAGGGCAAAACCCTCCCCTCAACATCGTGAACCAATCAATCTAGCATCATACCACTCTGAGGATTTTGCCTCCTCTTACGATTTCTTAGATGATGCTCGCAGTCTCAACGAAAAAGCTCTAGGAAAATGACCCATGGTAGACCTCCCCCCCCTTCACTCCAAAAAAGCCCAAACTGATCTTTGTAGTTATCTTGAGTCTGACCTAAATTTCTGGGACACTCCCAACAGGGATGCTTTCATTGCCTTCAAAGACAAGCAAGTCGCTCATGTCATAGTTGTTGATTTAAATGTCATGGACAGTCTCAACTGCAAAGTAAAGGAACTCTTCGAGTTCCAGGGATGGAAAACATTTCTTTCATTGCCTCCTCCAAAGGTATATGAACCCCTTGTTAGAATGTTCTATGCTAATCTTCGCTCTAGCAAACCTGATAAGTTAGAAACTTTGGTTCTTGGAAAATACATTGTTCTAGACTGTGCGCTGTTTGATACTATTTTTTAATGTAGTTGTTCTGGTTTTTCTATGCTCTTTAAAAATACCTGGCTTGAGGATTTTTAAATCTCTTTTGATCAAGCTAAAATGTGTATAGCTGAATCACTCCCTGACTCCCTTCCTAGTCAACTAGGACCTAGTGATATCTTTTTCGAAACTCGTGTCTTAACACATATTGTAGCAACCACTCCTCTTCCAAGAACAAAATCCTTCTCTACCTTCTCTAAGCGTGACTCCTTTCTAGTTTACTGTCTTCCGACTAAGCACAAGGTAAAGTTGTTTTCTTGGGTCATCAATTTTATGATAGAAAGTGCCGATGATCCCACAAGTCTTCCTTATGGTATGGTTATCACCCATTTGCTAGAATCCAACAACATATCCCTTATTGACCATCCCTACATCACTGTCATCAAGTCTTATAATTCTAGGGGATTTGATAGCATGGGTTATATTTCTATAAAGGGAGCCTTGGTCAAGAAACAAGAAGGTGAAATCAAGAATATCCCTCTGACTCCAAGGCAAAAGCTTTTGTGTCTCACCACAGTACAAGTGATTCTGACCTCTTGTCTCCATAAATGAAACATCGTCTATCATCAAGGACACATTAACCTCTATGCAAAGCAAGATTGAATATATCCATGGACTGGCAAAGGAGACAGGGTCCGACGTGTCCAAGATTCGAGTGCATATTCTCAAGACCGCAGAAAATGCAGTAAGGTCCTTCAAAGAGATGCACGCCAGAATTGATGGGGTCTCTGTCACAGTGAATGCTAGCTTTGATTGCCTCAAGGAGGCAGTTTGCAACACACTTACCATCTTTCTGCATCGCTGATGTTTGGTTGTTTAAGACAAATTCTTTTTCCTTTATTTTGCGACTGATGATTCAATCATGGGTTGTACTCTTAGGATAAATACTTCTTAATTTCCTGCCTGCTTTGGGCGGTGCAATTGAGATTTGAACGAAGTGGATGACTTTCGAGAAGGTTCTAATAGGTTCAAGATTTATATGTAGCAATTGAGAATTTTGCGGATTTGTATATGGTTAGAATCTGAGATTTACATTGGATGGTGTCGAGACTTGCGATATTTCTATATCATTATGGGTTCTACATTTTGGTATCAAGAAGGTGAAGGAAACGGCTTTAGATTCACAGAAGGTCTCTATAGTATGAGAGTCTCGGTTATGGTACTTTTGGGGTGCTTAAGAGGGAATACAACAGCTTATGGGCCTTAGGGCGGTGTGGTTTTATGCCAGGATCTCTTGTGGTGAGCTTAGGGTAGGGATCGTG